CCCCCCCCAAAAAAAAAGCGAGAAAAATGATCTAACAGATTCTCACAAGGCAATATTACTCGTGAGCCACAAACAACAAGTGATCATACGGTTTTTTACGCAGAATATTCCGTATGTAAATGACCAAATTTGCATTTGAAGCAGGGCCGTAGGTTCGATTCCTACCAGAGGACCTTGTGCTGCATTTTTCGCAGTCGTTCCTGGTTAGGTCTTAAAATGTATATATTCTCACTTGGATTCCAAACCCTTTACATACAGTACCTTGCCATGCTGACTAGACAACGCCATCTTGAATGTAAAAATGCAAGCTAATCACCCCATGAGGAATACACGCAATCAAATGTTGGAACAATGCTGCATTCCGATTGGACAAACGATGTTCCAAGATGTTCCAACATTAGCAATCCCTTGACGCTGATTGGACGAGATTGTTCCAACATTGTTCCAACATTGTTCCAAGATGGATCTATAGATATACGTATATACATGCTGAAAAATAGTCAAGTTATGTTCACAGTTCTTTGTTGACACTTCCAGAAACACCATCTGAGTATCCAATGACAAGCACTATCCCCAATGAAGACTCACCGGCCAACCCAACATTGATGGAGCCACTGGACCATGAAAAATCTGATGAAGCTGTAAGTAAAATGACACCAGGAAATTAAAATTGTGCTGATAAATTAACCCATTAACTGGCAATGTGCCCAAATGCGCCCTACTTTAGTATTTACTCTGTCTAACGCCATACAATTTTACTCATCAGTAGTAGAGCACTGCCAGTAAATGGGTTAATAAAGGACTATTTAAATGTTAATTTTAGGATGATGCTGTTGGCCCAGGTGGTATTCAAGGTTGGGCAGCAATCAAGAACTTGGCTTCCTCCTTGTTTCACCTTAAAGACAAGTCTGTTTTGACTGGAGCAGAAGCCAACAACATCATCAGCTTGTGGGAGAAACTGCCAGAAGGTTTGAAAAGTTCAAAAGTGGCATACCCACCCCGGTATAGACCAGACTCAACCCATACAGGTAGATTCAAACAAACAAAACCACCCTCGCCATACACCCAGACAGTCACACCTGGACTTGTGAGTCTAAGAAGGTAAAATATGCAACACATACAAAAGTAACCAACCTACTTGTTCAAATCTAATTTCCATAACAATCCTTTAGAGCAATGGTTGGAGGAGACTCAGGACCGGCAACAGCTGTCGATGTCAGTCCAGTTGTGGAGCAACTTGTTTCCCAGCTGGAAAAACACTTTGTTTCCCCCATTAAAGTTGACGGGAGATCAGTGTCAAGGTGGAGACGGATACTGACCAGCTACCGTAACATCAGGGAGCTGGTCACGATGCATGATTTGATCATGAAAGAAACGAACATACAATTGTTTGAACTCAATCAAACAACACTGATGAAATGGTGAGTTCAACATAATACAATTCAAAGACTTCAAATGTTTCAACACCTACCTAAAATATACAATTAGGTAGCTGTTGAAACATTTGAAGTCTTTGGCTATTCGAAGAAGCTATCACGCTGCAACCACTTGAGATCAGTGGCTGCAACCTACTTATCTTGTATCATAATACAATTCAAATATTATATCACCGTATCAAACAATTTATATGTACTCATTCACTGCATTTAAGGTGGAATGATCGTCAAAGACATATCGAGTGCAGAATTCTCACCCAAGGTCTGCCAGAACCACCACCACGAACTGCCCCAAAGCCCGACCTACCACCAGCCAAGCGACTCCTACCAAAGCCACAACCAACTCCACCACCTCCTCACCAATTTGTAACCATCACCACCTAACCAACTCCAACCACCCACAATGCCAAGCACCTCATCCCAATACAACAGCCCATCAACCATTCCCATCCCTAGAACCACCCTATATAACCAAAAAAAGAGGAAGGAGAGAGACGAGGCTCATGAGCCAGATCCCAAAAGAAAATATGAAAGAAAGCAGTGCTTCAACGTTTGCAAACACTGCAAACTTCCAAAAACTAAAGTTTTGGGGCATAGCAGGCATGTTGGGCTTTACAGTGTAGATACGTTTTGCCCTGCCGTGGAGGGAAAACAATATTTAGATAGCCATGCATGGATGAAAGCAAGGAAGGAGGTAAACCCTCCAAAGCCAAAAAAATAATTATCTATTTGCTATATAAAAAACAGCGAAATATATAAAAAAATACTTGCCTCACCATTGGTGAGAATGGCAAGAACAACAACACGTTTTTGTAGTTATATTTCTCATATACACCTCTGTTTAACCTCCGTTTATACTTTCAAAAGGGGCCATTCACAAAGGATGTCCGAGCCGAGGGGGGGAGGGGGATTTGGAAAATCAGGACAAACTCGGACATAGGGGGGGAGGGGGGTTTTTTAGCAATCCAGATGTCCGAAATTTAAAAAAATTCAAAAACAAATTTCTTTTTCCCTCTATTTTGAGCAGTCCTTCCCATTGTGAAATTGGCATTTTGACTATGCGGTTAACACTAGATTTTGTTTTAATTAGTAATTTATATATTTTTGTGTTCACATTTACAGTTATAAAAAAGTTCTAAAAGTAAATAAAGTTTTTTACTCTTGATATATACAAGGTTGCGTGAGTTTTTGCGAGGCATGGCGGATGTCCGGGGGGAGGGGGTCACTAATTCGGACAATGCCGGACAAGGGGGGGAGGGGGGGGGTCTGAAAATCCATCATTTGGCCGGACATCCTTTGTGAATGGCCCCTTATCAATTTTTAAAATATTGTACATAATAATGTACTTTAAAGGGGCCCTACAGTCATTTTTTAGTTGAAAAACCACCTTAAGTAGGGGACTCCACAGAGATTCGTTTGGTTGTATCTTACATGCAGTATTCATGAGTATGAATACTTCCGCACAATGGAAAACGCATACATGCTGTATTGCGCATGTCAAGTTGCAACAATAACAAAAAAAATGTAAACAATTACTTCAGGTGGCTTTTCGACTAAAAAATGACTGTAGGGCCCCTTTAAACAAATAACCTCAGTGGTCTGACTTATATGTGAATGTTATAAATTATTAACAACACCTGTTCCTTGTTGTTTTGCTCGAGAATACAAAACCACATGAGGATCTACAATGGTAAAAACCAAAGTCATCTCTTTCACCATCACTTGCTTCATATTTTGAGAAAATGACATTATGACATGTAACCTCATGTCTGTAACAAAAAAATATGGCAAAAATGATTAGAAATAGCAAATTTTGTGTGGTGATGAGGTCAATTAGGTCACAGAAAGTATATAATTTATAGTAGAAAATATATAGTTTTCATTTCCGAATATCTTAATTATGTACTCATTAGTGAGTAACGACTTAAGGTACTATAGCATTTTGTGGCACTGGAAAAGTATGAAAGCAAGGCACACTAGTAACAGAGTAAATTAACACTGAAAAAAAATGAGAAAGGGATATAGGAACAACAGTGTTCCTTAATTTATAAGATACAGTTGGGAACTTTGATTCTTCGACATACATACACTTACTTTACTCTTATTGAGTGGAAAACATATTTCTGATTACACCCTTCCACGCGGCACATGTACTGTTGGGTCGTGTTTCTCTGTCCAAGCTGTTCCACCTGCTGCACCAGAGTGTCAACATCTTTGCTTTCAGTTACATACTCTTCAATAAATTTTGTGCACAATTCAACAAACCATTTTCGTTGATCCTCTCTAGGTGAATCTCTATCAGGTATATCGTATTTAGGTTCATCTTTATTAAAAGAAGATAGCATATAGTATATATATATATATATATATATATATATATATATATATATATATATATATATATATATATATATATATATATATATATATATATATATACTTATGGGTTATACAACTGTACTGTACCCAAGTATCATCCTTACCATCCATATTTGACATCTCAGACACTTTCATGAATGATGCACATATATGTGCCTCCACTTCACATCGATGGAAATCTTTATACTCATTGTAATGATTTTCAACACCTTTACTTGCATTTGTCTTGTCCGATCTGTTCATGCTAGCTCGGGAAGTGCCAATCTCAGATACTGAAGAGTGATTAGTGAATGTGTCAAACTCAACCTAAATAAGGATAATTTGCATTGCTAATAAGCCACACAATTTTACCTATCGATTATGGTTCAATCTCTGAAAATAATGCTAACTCTACACTAAGTAGGTTAACCAGTCAACTATATATAACCATCCATTTGTGTTACTAGATAATACACCAATGTTGTAAAGAGTACGGTAAACACTTGGCACTAAATGGCAACTACATTTGGTCATGAAGATAAATGCACAGCCATGGTGGTACATAGTTAAAGGCTTTTTTCAGATAAACTTTAAATACCATAATCCTAGCTCTCAGGCTCTCACTAAACATAAACAAATATAGTAGCTTTGTATTTATGACAACTAACCATGAACAAGTTAAGTTTTGCATGCCAATCTGCAAACTCAGTAGAAATTCCATCAATTCGATCCCAGGCATTATCACCATCCTGATAGGTCCATTTTGTATTTCTTGCCCTCTCTTCAAATAGTTGGTCCCCATGCAGTGGCACAGTTTCTAAAATGATCTTTTCATCAGAAATAGTGCAGTTTGGAATGTATTTCTTTTGATTTACTT